GGTTACTTCATCCGCCTTGGGCTCACTTTGTCTCTGGAGGTCAACAGCACTTTCTCGCTACCGGCCGAATCACTGTTTTGCCCAGGAGTGAACGTGTGAACGACAGGTCGAAAGCGCCGCCACTAAGCTCGAACGTGCGCGTCACCACGTCTTCCATGTCAATCGTCACTGAAAAACAGCGATCCGCGACGGAGAAGGGATGAATGGTGCAACACGGTAAAGAAGTCCACGTTTGGTTTCCCTCGCGGATCTTGGAGCTGCACTGTTCTCGGCGCTCTAAACTACCCAACTGACTCCCCTTCAAAGTAGCCTGACCGACCGTTCCTAACTTGTGAAACGTGAGCGCTGGCGTTCCCGAGTTACCTTCGCTCAGGCCCGGCGGCGCATCACTCAGAGCCCACACACGCACGCGTGTACAATGTGGTGACCTACGTTGCTGACCGCTCGAGAGAACTCGCCCTGCCTCGTGGCCTTCCTGCGCTCCTCCCGCTTCGGGAGAACGTAGCCGAGGAGAGGGGAATGCCCGTCGCCTAAGACGGGAAGCGAAAATGAACCAGTTGAGCTTTGGTATGCGCGCTCTCTTTGTATTTCTTGTTGACCTCGCTATCGCCATCTCAACAACACCTTGTTATGACCCGTCCCACCTCCATGTGTGTGTGAGTGCGTGGGAAGGTCATCGAAGCATTTTCCCAGTCGTTAAGACCACTTTGGGGGAAGGTTTCGCCCAGGCTTAGCCGAACGCTCGGGGCCTTGCCAGTCTGGCTGGCGTCAGTCGCTTCCGGGGAAGCGCCGCTCAAGGACTCCTCTCCCTCACGTCACGTGTCAACCCTTCGGACTTCTACCTGCGGCTGGCGCCGAGGCGGCGGAACGCGACAATGTGTGTTCCGTGCTTTCCCGATTCTTATCCGCCACGGTGGCGGGAGGGGAGATTAAACGGAGCCGGCTGTCTGCGGGGAAACAATCCAGGGAGCGTCCAGCAGCCAATTGAAGACCTTGGAGATGTTTCCCATCCCCATTCGCAGGATTCCAAAGTGGGGGGATAATCGTCGTCTTCAGGTCCGATTGTTCGGGAGATGGTCGTCTTCGATCACATATTTTGCTATGAAGTGAGAAAGGCTGGACGCCAGCGAGATGACCATGCTACCCGAGAGACATGGCTGGGCGTCGACACCGAACAACCTCCCCTCCACCCCTTTATCCGAGTCTTGCGGTAATAGTGGACTTTTCCCGCCTCTCTTCGCCTTTCAACCAGTGGTGCCAATTCAGCGGCACAGGATGGCTCTACAGAGGGACGGAGGGAGGAGGGAGCCTCGATACCAAAGCCGCCGCCTTCGTACAGGGTGGAGAGACGCTTTGGACGAGCCCGCGCCGCAAAGCTGCTATCTTAGGTTCTGAACTTTGAACAAACACCGCTTTCCCTTCGCCGGTACATTTCGCGTCTGGTAAACTTGTCCACTCCTGTCTCTCCATTTTTTTTATTAAATAACAAAGACGTTGCCAAGGAAAAACAGAAGGCCGAATCTACTGTCCTGCGTCGGTAGCACAGATCTAGTTTGCTGACCAAATAATCGCTACTTGACCAAAACCAAATACTAAAAAAAAAAAAAAAAAATTCAGAATTGTCTTGGGGGGGGGGCGGCCGCCCCCCCCCGCCCCCCCCCCCCCCCTAAATCCGCCCCTGGAACCGACGCCGTGTGTATGTGTCTAGCGAGTGCAATGTGCGTGAAGCTGTTCGTGCCTCTGGATCAGCGTCTTTTCCCCTCGCGGTTTAGGAACGAGCTTAATCCAGCGTCCACTAGCGACGGAAGATGGGGGGAAGGTACGTCTTTTTTTCGTCCTTAGATGATTTACACAATACCGTGCACAACAGCTCCTCATCACTGATCAGTGCTGGCTTATTATCAACCTACTTAACTTGACGTTTGAGCGCGGCTCGCCTAATTGTAATTGGTCAGCAGATTGCACACGACCATATCGGCCGCGCTTCAAAGATTTTCATTCTCGCCGTCTTGTACTTTTGCTTTCGAAAACCCCCCTGGCTCCACAACGTTGCCCTATTCGTGCTTCCACGGAATCTATTAGAGTAGATTTGGGACATAGCCATGGTTAATATATAGTACATAAGAACACGTACAGATCTCTCCCTTTTATTGATAGCAACTCACCGGAACAGCTGGACGATCCAGAACTCCGTGGCCGATATATATAAATGATCTAAAGGCTTCTACGCGCGACACACGTTCAGAACTTTGGCGCGGCGTCAATTCGTGACCGGTATCCAAGCGTGCGAAGGCACAAAGATGCATCACTCGGCGTGCCAAGGAAGCTTTGATCACGCCGCGACACCGGCGACACTTGTTTTCGACGAGTTGTACCTTTTGATACGGCTTCACGCACATTGCACTCGCAAAACACATCCACACGGCGTCGATTCTTGGTCGGTATCCAAGCGTGCGAAGGCACAGAGACACGGCACTTCGGCGTGCCAAGGAAGCTTTGAACACGCCGCCAGCTTTTCCTTTCGACGCGTTGTGCCCTTTTCCTGCGACACTGCACTTTCGTAAAATTTTCCACGTGTTCACGACGGCAAGTCTCAACAATACACAGAGTCTTCAAAAAATTTCTTCGGCGAATGACGACGAACGAGTAGAAAACGTGTCCACAGCACGCTGGAAAACCGCAGCAAAGGCTAGCAAAAACGGCAAATCGTATCCCAAGCGAGTGAAGTCCGGTGGCTTCACTTGCGGGAGCGGCAAGCGCGATCCAGCAATTGTCATTGAGATCAGTGTTTCAGCTTCAGCCCGATCCGATACAAGGCACAGAGACGCAGCGCTCCGGCGTGTCAAGGAGGCTTTGATCACGCCGCGAGACCCGCGAAACTTGCTGTTGACAGGTTGTGCCTTTTTCTTGCGGCACTGCGCTACCGTAAAAATTCCTAAGTGTGTTTTCAACGGCAAGTCTCACGGCTTACGCAGGTTTTTAAAGAACTTCTTCGGCGAATGACGGCGAACGAGTAGAAAACGTGTCTTGACTCTTTAGTACGCTGCCGCCAGCCTCCGCAACGCTCCAAAACTGCGTTTCTTCAGCATGCAAGATGGCCCTCCGGGGGCTTCACTCGCGGGAGCGGGAAGCGCGATCCAGCAATTTTCATAGAGATCAATAGTAAGAATAAAGTCTTGTTAATATTTTCATTTCAAGCCGCGGCCGAAAGTCCGCCCTGATTCTGGAAAGGCACCACCAGCACGCATGCCGTCACTTCACGCTTGCAACTTTCGGTTGCGGAGAATGGTAAATGCATATTAGTGGTAGGGGATTCTCTACCATGTCCGATTATTCCGAATTTAGAAGTATGAATTGTTGGAGTGAGACATGGGTACTGAAAACCATCGAGAAACGTATGTTTTGCCAACCTTCTTGGTAGGTGGCGCGAGGCACCACCCAAATAAAAAGGCTCAGCTGCATTTATCTATTTATCGTGAAGGCTACTGCTGCATCCGGGTTGTATCACGTTTTCGAACCCCCACGCGCGCTTTGTCAGTCAGCGCCACTGATCTCTATGACAATTGCTGGATCGCGCTTCCCCGCTTGTTCGCTGCAGCGCAAGTGAAGCCACCGGGCTTCACTCGCTTGGGATACGATTTGCCGTTTTTGCTAGCCTTTGCTGCGGTTTTCCAGCGTGCTGACGACACGTTTTCTACTCGTTCGTCGTCATTCGCCGAAGAAGTTTTTTGAAGACACTGTGTATTGTTGAGACTTTCCGTTGTGAACACGTGGAAAATTTTACGAAAGTGCAGTGTCGCAGGAAAAAGGCACAACGCGTCGAAAGGAAGGGCTGGCGGCGTGTTCAAAGCATCCTTGGCACGCCGAAGTGCCGTGTCTCTGTGCCTTCGCACGCTTGGATACCGACCAAGAACCGACGCCGTGTGTATGTGTTCAGCGAGTGCAATGTGCGTGAAGCTGTTCGTGCCTCTGGATCAGCGTCTTTTCCCCCTCGCGGTTTAGGAACGAGCTTAATCCAGCGTCCACTAGCGACGGGAGATGGGGAGAAGGTACGTCTTTTTTTCGTCCTTAGACGATTTACACAATACCGTGCACAACAGCTCCTCATCACTGATCAGTGCTGGCTTATTATCAACCTACGCGACTCGCCTAATTGTAATTGGTCAACAGATTGCACACGACCATATCGGCCGCGCTTCAAAGATTTTCATTCTCGCCGTCTTGTACATTTGCTTTCGAAAACCCCCCTGGCTCCACGTACAACGTTGCCCTATTCGTGCTCCCACGGAATCTATTAGAGTAGATTTGGGACATAGCCATGGTTAATATAGTACATAAGAATACGTACAGATCTCCCCCTTTTATTGATAGCAACTCACCGGAACCGCTGGACGATCCAGAACTCCGTGGCCGATATATATAAATGATCTAAAGGCATCTACGCGCGACACACGTTCAGAACTTTGGCGCGGCGTCAATTCTTGACCGGTATCCAAGCGTGCGAAGGCACAAAGATGCATCACTCGGCGTGCCAAGGAAGCTTTGATCACGCCGCGACATCGGCGACACGTTTTCGACGAGTTGTACCTTTTGATACGGCTTCACGCACATTGCACTCGCTAAACACATTCACACGGCGTCGGTTCTTGGTCGGTATCCAAGCGCGCGAAGGCACAGAGACACGGCACTTCGGCGTGCCAAGGATGCTTTGAACACGCCGCCAGCCCTTCCTTTCGACGCGTTGTGCCTTTTTCCTGCGACACTGCACTTTCGTAAAATTTTCCACGTGTTCACAACGGAAAGTCTCAACAATACACAGAGTCTTCAAAAAACGTCTTCGGCGAATGACGACGAACGAGTAGAAAACGTGTCGTCAGCACGCTGGAAAACCGCAGCAAAGGCTAGCAAAAACGGCAAATCGTATCCCAAGCGAGTGACGCCCGGTGGCTTCACTTGCGGGAGCGGCAAGCGCGATCCAGCAATTGTCATTGAGATCAGTGGTCAGCGCCATTTTTGAACCATCCGAGCCATTCCAGCTGCTGTCTTCCGCTCCGCTGTACGATGCCTTTCGCTATCGCCGTTTTGGTAAGCAGACTTTTAAAATTGTTGTGCCACAAACGAAGTGCATTTCCGTGTGTCGTCAATGTAGAACGTTCCCCTTTTTTTTTTGTTTTCCCCACTCCTTATCTGACCAGCCCCTTTTGCAACGGCCAAACTACCCGGCTTGTGTATTCTCGACGCTTTTCTTTTTTTTTTTTTTTTTTTTAATAGTCTTCTTTCTTCTTCGTCATTAGAGCTTGCGTGAATTCCTTGAGTTCTTACCGATCTCGTCAAACAACGTTCGGGCGTTTTTGACTGCCCAAAAAAGTAATTTGTCCGTACCTTTCGTAACGCTTGCTTGGTGCACGCCTAGCACTCGAGGACGCCTAGAAGTTGTCATGATTGCAAGATCCACAGCTTCGAGGACAAACAGAATGACATAAGGAAAAGGACTAATACGAGCGTGGCAATAAAGCATGACAGGCAATGGCTAGATTAGTCTCGGAAAAACTGGCTTTGAACATTGCTGCCACTTCGCGTTCGTCCTTGTTTTGTGCTTTTTCGTGTTCCTAATTATTCTTTTGCTCTGGGTGTTGGCTTTATTAATTTCTCTGTTGACTGCAGTTACATAAAAGTCAATGAAGCTAAGACACTTGTGTTGTTGACGCTGCCGTGTGTTTTGCGCTGCACTCCGTGCTTGATTTGTGAGGATGCTTCTGACGTCTCTTTCGTTCTTCTCCTGAACTCCAGACGAGCGCCTAGGAGGCGTGCGGAAGGATGCCCGTCAAGCGCACGTCGCGGTTCCACACTGCCTCGTACCGGTGTCTGAGCTGGCTGTGCAACACGTTAAATATCCTCGAGGTCAGTGATCTGCAAGGCTCTCCCCCCCTCTTTCTTTTGAGGCTGTGGTGAAAGCTTCCACGTCTGGCAGTGACAGTTTTGCACGTACATATGGTTGTATCCACTGAGCCTGAAGTTCGAATTTGCCAGGGAGTGCCACCATCAAGCCGCCATCTTCGAGGTCACATTTTTTTTGTTTTCTCTTTTTGTGGCTTTGGCGCACGGTTTAACTGGTTTGGGTATGCAGCCGTCCATTGGTCGTGCGTGTTAATTTCATATTGTTGAAGAAGCTTGGTCGAACAGAACGGGGTGGCCCGCTCACCACCGCTAAAACGGGGCGGCCCGTTTTAGTGATTGTGAGCTGCATGGTTGTAGGGTGCTCTAACCACATGCAGAAAGACCCTGTTGGCGAAAACTTTGCAAAAGTGGGTATTTCCTCACCCCAAAAGTGGTGACTAACAAGTGTGAAAGGACAGTAGCCTTAACTACGAAAAGAAGTGCCACTCGCTAATGAACAATTTGCCGTATTTTTCATTAACGGCGTACACGGCAAGCTGCACGATGTACGACTCAGAGGTGATGGAGCAACACGGTCATCCGGCCAAAGAAAGAGTCCACTAGAGACAAAAATACAACTACCAAAATAAAACATAGTAATCGGACCGAGCTACAAAAGCAGCAATGTAGAAAAATCGCAGTTCTTGCGTAAGAGCTACCGCCGTGGGCACGGCATGGGCATGGAGCGTTAACACCTTAAGACACTGACAGGGTATTTGTGCTCGCCAAAGTTTCGATTTATAAGTGAAACATGAGAGCCCAACTGCCCAGAACACAATTTGCTGCTCGAAATTCGTTTTCTTTCCACCCGAAAACTGCCGATCGAGAACTGGCCGGTTTAAGTCGCGCTCACATGGTCACGTGCCGTTTTCTACGGTTTGGACACAACCACGAAATGTAATCAGAATCATGGGTCATCGAAGGCTCGCACTAAGTATTAAAATAAGAAAAAGAAACATGATAACCATTTTCCCTGGCTTCTAAAAAATTGCAAATACGGCGATGGGAAAAAAAAAAAAAGTTCCACAACCACGTGGCTTCTAGCAACGCTTTCCTCCTCTATATTTCTTCTTCCTCCACAGTCCAGTTTCGGTTCTGGTTCCAAGTAGTTGCGTTTTTTTACGTTATTAAAAATATATGCGATGCCGTTGCAAAATATTGATTGGGTAGTCTTCTGACACCATGTTAAAACACCGGGCAAAAAATTTTAAAAAAGAAATGCGGGGGGGGGGGGGGGGGGCGATGTCAGTGTCCTTTTAACGGAGCACTGCACATAGCTGATAGAGTTGCAGTGAACACGTCCGCCAGCGACAAAAACGAACCAACAACACAAAAATTATTCCTACCTCGCTCCAAAAGCAAAATAATAATTCTTAGTTTCGCCCCAAAAGACCCTTTAAAATGCTGCTTGACCATGCTGAAAGGTCCGGCCAGATGACAGCTGACAGCAACGTGAGATAGAAAGAGGCCTTGAAGATGGCGACCGTGGTGGTCGATGCCAGCGCCACTACCGAGTGACGCCAAGTGAATTTCACCTATAGTCTGAGACACGTTAAGAGTTCAGGGGAAGCTCCTCCCACCTCTTTCCTTTTTGGCAGAGTGAATGCTGGAGAGGGGGCTTCCACTAACATAATAATCTAGAGAGATGGTCCCATGCACTTTGGCCACTTTGGAACGACTGGGCACCGGTGCGAACATTGGTGGTCCCGATGAGACCATATTACTGATGAAGGTTAGCTATTCACAAAGGAGCAAGGATACATCACTTGCACAATCTGCAACTAGTGTTTTTGTAGCTTTAGTTTGCACAAAAGCACTGGCATCACGCATTGTTTAGAAGCAAATAAAATTGACGAGCGCTAAAACAACCTCAACTCGTCGTGGCAAAATGAACACACCCATAGTATATAGTCTGCTCTTTTTTTCTGTTTTTTTATCGCTGTCTTTCTCATTCTTTTTTTTGGAACCACCGATGTCAGCGCTTATGATTTCCCGCGTTCTGCTCCCGTCCTTACCTGCCAGCGTGCACATTGCCGAGAGTAGATTGTAGTTGGCTGCAAAAAAACGACTCCTGGCCAAAGTCTGTTTAGTTAGTTTTCTTTACCACCTGGCATCCAGAAAGTAAGACCTTTTTTTACCTTATCCAAGCACCAAGGGGCATGCTCAGGGTGGAGTAACATGTGCTGCACTTGCTGGCACATGGAGCAGTGACTGTTCTAAAGCAAAATCTTAAAAACAGGTGATTTTAGCACATGCATTCATCAGTGCTTTATTTTGATTATTTACTTTCAGCTTCTCACACTCTAAGGGAGCACGTGCAGCAGTTTTACCTACATTTCCTGCATTCTCCTTGTCACTTGGTTAATTTGGCAAATATGTCTATTGGGCATTACTTCCAAAAGTAATAGCTGCTTTTGTATTCACTTTAATGTGTCATATAATTACCATGGCTTGTCGTCTTATCTTGTACTTTTTTAGCTCTCTTTTCGTGTTTAATTCCTTTTTCTCTGAACTTTTTGGTGTTGACAAATGGTCAGCAAGTTTTTTTTAGTGGTACATTGGGGCATCAACAAAAACTTAGTGTGTGGCAGTGGAGAAAAAAAGAATGACGATGGGAACGCATCGGAGCGTAATACAGTGCAATTTTTGTAAGTCTCTTTTTTACGGGCTTCTTCAGTCACTACACTACATTGTTCCCTATTCTACTTTAAGACCCTATTTATCATGTTGTTACATTCTTTTTTTATTTGACAAATGTTGTTGGATAGAGAGGGGTATAAGTGCCTTTTTAGGCAGCCCCTAGTAGCTGTATATAAACATTTGGCTTTGTCTCGGGTTCCAGGGTCTGAATCCCGCCGAGTTGCGTGACAAATCTCGCTCATTGCAATTAATTACACCTCATTATGGTTATGTACGATTAATTATGGCTGAGCGTGTTTTTTGTTTGGGTGCTTATACATTGCCTGCTAAAGGGCTATGTATGCTTTTGTCGCCTTTCGAATCGACTTTCGACGAATCGACTTTCGAACGCGCTGTGCGTGCAGTGTCCAGTGCCTGGTGCCCTGGTGGCGCCCCCCGGGGAGCAGAATACCCCGGTCGACTTGCCAAGTCTCCTCTCCCACCTCGACCGTCCCTCCAAGCGCAAGGGCATTACACTCAGGTGGGCTTTCATCGTTGACTCCACGACGTCAGACATTTTTGGAGCGCAAGGCCAACGCATGGGGGGGGCGGCGTTTTCCACTGGTCTCTGCGGTTCGTTGCAACTCGAGAACAGCAAGTCCTTTCTTTCCTTATTAGCAGAGCGAATGCTGGAGGGGGGAGAGTTGGCTCCAGCTTTTGCTGCGCTAATGTGGAAAGAGGGAAAAGCTCCACCTCCTGCTCTTCTCGAGTTGCAACATACTACCGCCCCCGACAGAACAAGAACTGCAGGACGGGTCATGCTAAGGCCCGCTTCAGACGGGGCAACTTTTCCAGCAATTTTGAGGTTGCTGGCGGGTTGTTCCCTAGCTTTCCCTAGATCGACGCAAATTGCTGAGATCGGGTCCGGCTCGAACAAGCGAGCAACTCGGAGCAATTCGAAGACTGTTGAAGCGCCTGCAGCCAATCAGAGACGCAATATTTTCACGTGACACCCCTGTGGTGGTGATGATGACAGCTAAACACTTAGTTCTGGTTTGAAGTAGATTGTTTTTGGAAATAAACATTTTCAGAAAAATTAGTTAGTATTCTCAACGCCGTTCAAACATATACGAACAGGTTTTTAGCGCGTAGCTGGGCATCTAAATAGTGAAAGAAAAATCAAATTTAATGATGATGATGGCAAGTCGGAGCAATTCGGTTGCTGCGTGTGAACGCGGGCGGCCCGTGTTGCTGGTGTTGCGACGTCAAGTTGCTGGGTGAAATTGCTCCGTCTGAAGCGGGCCTAACGCCTGTCCCCCCGGCACGTGCTCCGTGCCTTCCGCCATGCTTTGTTGCTATGCTTTGTTGCTTTGGCTATGCACATGTGCACTCCAGACGCTGAAGCATTGTCAAAGGTAAGAAGCTCTCCCTGGAGGCTGAAGCTAGCGCCTGCCGTTCTCCCCTCTTCGGTGACAACAGTATCCTACACCACCCACGGATCGGAAAGTCGCCAAAGCGGCAACGACACGCGTCACAGAAGCAGACATTTCGTGCAGCACATTGTCGCAGTCCCGTCGGTTGGCCGTAGCAGGGGCACTTTGTAAGCTACGCTCCCCGGTCGTCTCTTGAACGCTGCCATTTTGTCACTAAGACAGGCACAGTTGGCGATAGTTTTGATTGTATATTACGACTTCCTGAGCTTGAGATGTGGCGTCGAAGAGCCTGGGCGATGCTGTTTTGCTCTGTCGCAGATGGCTTTAACATTTCTGGAAGATGGAAAAGCGGTTCCTGCGGTTTTAGGTATTGGCCTCGAGCGGGACCGATCGGAGCACTGCGATCGCTCAACCTTGACGTAGGATGGGGGATAACGTGATAAGGCCACCTATTCCGCCTCGCTTTGGTCAGGGTCTTCGGATACCATTTGCTCGGTACTCTCCCATTCTTTCTGTCTTTGAATCCTGATCAGTACACGCATGGATCGGCTTCGGCAGCTTTCGAACTCGGGGAGCAATGGTTAAGTACTGTTCGGTGCCACAGTTACACGACCGACCCAAACGTCAGCTTCCACATCTACCCCAAGGAGGAGCATCAGCAGATCCATTATGGCTCATAAAATGTGAACAGTCCCAACTTGCATAGCAGTACCTTTCTCATACAGCTTCAATATCATTTAAACAATGGGGTTAAAAGTGTCTGTACAAGTTAGCGGCAAGCAATGCAAGCAGAGCTGAGTGCTAATAGACTTGAAAGATAATTTACAGAGGGTAAAAAGACATAAAATTTCACTATTTTAATGCAAGCATCACTCACAGCTTAGTAGTATTTAAGCATCCAGCAGTTGCATAAATGTGAGAATGTTATGTAGCTCCATTTATTTTACTTTAAAGGTTGCTGATACAAGTAGCTGTACTCGTATTAGCAACTAATATTTTTCTTTTTGTAACCCATCTACTTCCCTTGTAGGTACCCAAACAAAACAAGTCTGCAACGCTAATACACCTAGCTACAAGAATATTTGCATAATCTTTTTTACAGAAGAAAGAAAAACAACAATGCTGTACACAAACAACTCATTGGTCTTTGGATGATCTGATATTAGTTTATGAAATTAAAAGTTCGAACAAGCTTTAATATTCGTCGCTTAAAAATGCCTCTATTACAGAAAAGTAACAACACCTGTGCTTCAAAAACATATATATATATATATAAAAAAAAAAAAAAAAAGTCAGATGCACCGTTCTGATTCAGCGACTCGTGACTTGGGAAGCAAGCACGTTACCACTAAGCCACAAGAAATTTTTTTTTTTTTTCTCTATTCTTGAGTTACAAGAACAACGGGAGGTGACTGATTATGTTTGGAAAAAGGCGCCGCATTCACTTTTCATCGCAAATCGCAATCTCTAAGAGTACTCCAGTTTCGCTTCCCGGCTCTGGCTGCGAGCTCCTCGATCGATTTTACAGCACGCCGGCCGGTGGGTACATACAACCTAGCCAAGTAATGATACACGGCATGTACCTTTATCCTGCTTTGCAGGAGCACGATATGTCACAGACGTTTCTTCCATTTAGTGTTATCTCCAGCTTGTGCGGGTCCGAAGTGAGTGCCGACGTTTGGAGAATGAATCCAATAAACGTGTCGCAATCTTTATCCAGCTTCTTGATATTACAGAAGTACACATGTCTCGTTTCAAGAACACTTTCAATTAACAGCCGGGTTGTTTCGTGGGCCTTGTCCATGAATGCATTGATGCTGCTTACCGACAGCACAACTGAAAGAAGTACACAGTTGTAACGAAGTGCTCAATCGAATACTAGAAGTTTAAAAAAAATTTGCCTTCTTTCAATGGTAGGTCGCACTTTGTAAGCATCCATTGCGGTGCGCAAGACAGCTGCCGAAAACGACAACAAGTTGACCCGTACCCTCTACTCCACGCCGCTGCGCTGCCGTGCAGCGACCCCGTTTCCCTGCTCGCCTGCAACCGGCTCCCCGGAAGCACTCGTATGGTAGCTGATTTAGGAACTTCACTGGGTCAAGTGCTGAAACAAAACATTGGGCTAAAAGAAGCCTTAAACACCCGTTGCATTAAAAAAAGTTAAGACCGAGACACTTCACCCTTAATGCAGAGTGCAGGAAACAGTCACGTGATCCCCCATCCTCAGTCACGAGGATAGGCCCGTCAGGGGGCGCCATGCCATGTTCTCGGGACTAAAGGCATCGGACGATTGAAATGTGCTGATTTCAGGTGCCAAGATGGCTGAGGTAGGGTCACTTTGAAGCTTGGCCCACAACAAGATGAATTTGGAGGTGTTGAAACATTGGGGAAACATAGCGAGAGACCCGTCTGAAACATTGCTTAAAGGACATCTCCACTCAATTCCGAAGATTTCAGGATAATGCGTGATTTTGAATTAAAAAGCCCTAGTAAAAGACAATACAAAGTGGAAATCAATACTAAAACTTCGGCTCCTTCCGGCAACATTGGCCTCGAGCCGCCAAAAGCATGGCCATCACGTGGTACGAGAAGTCACGTAATCCTCGGCCCAACGACGGGCGCGGGCGTGTGGCAGGCGCGAGTGTCGTCTGCACCGCACTCTTCGCCACATTTTGGTGTCTACGGCATTCGACGACGTCTGCACAAGTGCGGCATAAGTCTGCGCACGTGGTGTCCGTAGTGTGGCCGAAACTCTGAGAGACAGTAATCACAAATGGTGAGATGACGACGATGGTTGTGACGCAGAAGACGGCGGTAACGGCGGGACCACGGCTGGCGGCCGGATGGCTCCCAAGAAGCGCGCTGCGCAGGCGAATCACGGGGACACCGCTGAGCGCCGAGTGGCAACGTTGCTGACGTCATGCGCTACGCTCGCCCGTAGAAGTAAAACCAAGCAAAAACGGGGCCATGTTGATGACATTTAGCTCAATGTTGGCTCCGCCCATGCCGTAGCCTTGACTGCGCTGTTGGTTGCGCTTGAATTCGCCTGCTCGAGTCAGCCGATTTCGGCAACTTGGCGAGTTGCAAAGTTTGCCGAATCATTTAAAAAACATTTAGACAGAACTGCATCGTAATATTTGACGTGTGATCTTCCTAGGCGATGCTGAAAAGGACTGCACTGTTTTTTCAAAACCAAAAAGGAAGCGGAGTTGCCTTTTAACTAGGGACAATATTTGCGCAACATATTACGCTTTTCGTAAGACGACTAGTTGAACTGGTTGGTAGTTTTAAATAGGATAATGACTTGTACTGGAGAGAAAACCCAATTGTATTTTTTGATATCCTCTTTAGCACTCTGTTTTTGGTGCTTTTCACTTCAACGACATAACCTTAAAGGCCCTGCAATCATATTTAAGCGTCCACCTTTTTTGCGGTTTCCACGTCTCTTGGGGTTCGGGCAAGCCAGCGGGCACAGAGAGAATAACTGAATATCACTGCATCATATTTCAACCGGACGACGCGGAAACCTCCTCCACCGACGGGGGCAACTCGCAATACCGAAAGCGCGCGATATGCGACGTCGTTGGTCCTGGGCTTACTACTGGTCAGAGCCACTAAAAGCATCTTTTTAGTCGAAATACAAAATATAAGCGGTGCGAACCGTTTCAGTTATTTATAAAAGTTGTTTTTGTTCAGTATTTTAGATCAGAAAAGAAACAAATGCAGTTTATAAAGTACAGAAATAAGAAATGACCTGTCGACGTACCCGCCACCAAGCGGTGGAAAGGCGGCGCATACTAGAAAGGAGTAGTGGGATTAGGCGCCGACACGGAAAGGTTCCGGATGTACGCGGCGGCGCAGTGGTCGTGTGGACTGGAGAATCCGACCGGCTCCGAGCGTTCCGAAGGCCTTCTGCAAGCAGCTATGTCTTGCGGTTTCGCCGTTTCGCAGTATGGCAGTGTGAAGTGGCTCTCATTCTGAACTGATCCTTACCCCATGTTTGCTGTCGTTTGTGGCCAATGAAGTGTCAAGTCGAATTAGTGTTTAATTGTGCAGCAAATGCAATGAGAGCCGCTCTGGCTGCACGCTGCATACAGTCTATCCAGAACATGCTTTAGTGGCGCCCTCTTGCGCCGTCGACACGGAGTGTGGCAGCCTAGAGCGCTCGCTGAGCTCACTACCCCTCCTCTAGTTCACGGCCACTCAAGCAGCCAAGGATGTCATGAAGGAGGTTATTTTTTGCTTGTTTTTGTAATTTTCGTTTGCCTGTAACTTTTAAAATAAATTGAAATTCGAGAAAAGAGAAATTTCATTAAGTTACTACATTCAGTGCACTCAGGTTCGGTGCAAATTAAAAACCAGTAAAAAAAGTTCTTGCAGGGCCCCTTTATCCAATGGAAGCGTTCAAGAATCACCAGTCATGAGTTGGGCATGTATGTGGAGCTTTATGTATATGTTGAAAATTGTGAGGTGAGGTTTCAAGTAGATTGCAGAATGTTAATGTCAGTCGTCATAGCCATTTAGCTTGATTAATGACGGAGGTGGCTTTCGGCTCCTTGTGGTAAGATTAGGAGAACTGCTATGTGCATGTGCATACCGGGTCGAGATATCCTCCTGTTTACAAACTCTAAAAATAAAACATCGCTTGCGAGTGAGACTTGTCTGTCATTACGCATCTTTTTCTTGTACACTTCGTTTTATAATAAAATATTGAGAACTCCGTCGTAATATCCTCTCTTCCCCCACTGTGCATGTCCCAGGGCCTTCAAGAGCATGGTCCTGGGCGTTGGCGAACTCCCGGTGGCACCGTCGGTGTCCCCCCCCACGCCCCCCTGCATCACTAACAGCAGGGAGGTGTCTGCCCTCCGCGAGGAGGTGTCGCAGCTCAGGGTGCGGCTGGAGGAATTAATTGCCTGCCAGAGAGGTAAGGCACTCTTTGTGACATGAGAGTAGCGCACTATCCATACTCGGCAATTTCTTGTTGGTTAACCACCGTGATGTCGACGGGATTTTTTTTTTTTAATCCCTTGCGTTTTTTTAGCACAACTGGTGAGCACAATATTTACGATTTTAAGGGACTTCAAGGGCCCTGAGCAAAAAATCTTCAAGTTTGAGCAGCAAAGAAGCCATCACTCGGATCCATCAACAGTTGACGTCGAATGTGGACTGTGATGCACTGAGGAACCTACTGGCGTAGCTTCTGCAGTGCTCCCACTCTGTCAAAACTAGTTGCACATGCAAATGAGATGCAAAAAGAAGCCATGTGCTCTTACAGCTGTGCGGGGCTGCAGCGGTGTGGAAGCCGCACTAGGCTTGACAGTGTAGCATGAAAGAGTTGACACCAAATCTAGGTTTTAAAGGAAGACTCACTGAGTGAGAACTCTCAATCTGAAGCGAAATCGTTGTCGGGCACACCGTACTATGCGAGTACCGCTAGACCATCGCATCATAGCAGCATTTTAGAAATGCGCTGTCTTCCATCCCATTGTTATCCTTGTGCTTGGAGTGATTGTTCCGTGAGAAGGCTCCAAGCGTCTCTTGAAACCTTGAAAAGTCTCGACTGTTTCCTAATTTCCGCTTTTCCCACACCGTGCAGCGGCCCTGGCACAAGCCGTTTTTTCCTCGGCCACCCGTCCCCTCGTGCTTCCGGCCCTTCCGTCGGAATCTGTGGCCCCGCCACCGCCACCGCCCCCACCCCCTCCTCCACCCACGGCAACTTGCGGCTTCAAGGTGGTTCCCAGATCCTCAAAGGCAAGCTCATAACCCCTTGTGTGTGTTTCCTTGGGACATGCATTCGTAAACTATGTCTGAAGTTTAGGCAATGTTTCAGCGTGTCTAAGCCATGCATCCATGCTTAGCTATCAGCCAAGCACAGAGTCTGTTGCACGTTAAGAATAACGGTACAAGCTCTTCCCACAAAGCCCTGCACTCTTTGGAATTTCGTAGAGTGAACGCTTGAGATGGGAGGCGAGTGGAGCAGAGAAAACCACCAATTGTGGCAAGCAGAGAGCTTTGTGTGAGGCTGGTCCTGCTTTTCTTAACCTGCTACAGGCTATGCTGTATGCTCTGTTTTCATTCAATGCATATTCATTTTTCTCGAAATCATGAAATTTGGCATCCTCTGCCTTGGAAGAACAACCGATTGTAATTATCCCCATCTAAAAATCATAAGAGCCTCAATACACTGCTGTTCATATACATTAAAATTATACCTCAGACATCTGGGTCCGTGCAGACGCAGGATACAGAAGAAAGCAAACTAGCAGGATAGAAACAAAACATTCAATACACTGTTTCAGACTTGGATAAACAGGCGCATTAAAAGTTAACCCAAAACAAAAGCAGTTGTTTAACTGAGTCGTGAAGTGGGATTCTTTGGCACCCTGGACGGTAGACACTTTGAACATTAGAAGTGCCTCACTTAGCCAAGGCCTTACGACCAACTATCTTGTATCGAATGGATGGCGCAGAAGACGAGTGCATTCGAAGTAGGAGTGCGAGAGTCCAGTTGAGTGTGCGGTGTCGATATCTGTCTGGACTTTCAAAAGTTTAGCGTGCCTTACTCTCGTTGAGTGTAGAGCACCTTCTTCTGTTTGTGTGCAGAGCATTGGGGGACCACCTGGTTTGAAGACCCAGGAGCAGCTGTACCACGAAATGCTTAAGGGCCTGGGGACGGTCAAACTAAGAAAGATCAAAAAGTGAGTCTGCGGCTAGGAACTTTCCGATTGCGACGCTTGCCTCTGCCGTCTTGCACTGCCTGTGTTTGTGCCATTGTGTTTGTACAATGATTTCACTGAACTATACAGTGCCGAGCAACAGAAACAATGTGTGTGCACCTTTTCCTCCATCTGTGTGCAAGTCAACAAGTGTCTCTTTATGAATTGCAGGGTGTTGACCGACGGAATCGTTTCATTGTATTTTGCAATGCAAAAATAAACTTTGCATTGCTGGGAGCTCTAGCTTCACCATAATGTAGCGCTAGGAGTCGGGATGAGATTGGTTCGAAAGTTTAGTAGTTGCAGGAGCTACGAGCTTAAAGGCGAAAAGTTTATTCAGCCTACGTAAGAATGCCGTCGGAAAGCGAAAACAGGTGGAATGCATTTGTTTTCTGCCATTGCTCTCGGGTAGCGAAACTCTCGGTGACTGGAAGTAGCAAGCAGGCGTCATCTGCTTCCGTGTTTGCATCTGATTGTCATAAGCAGCAGCAACTGTTGAGATGTATGCACATGCACCATTCTGTCTGGCAGCAGTGTCTTGTAGCCAAAATCTCTTTTCTGTTTACATCCGTGTCCATTTTGAAACTTTGGCACCCTCTTCCCACCACCGGCGTTGCTCTACTTGCCCAAAATGTAGTCTCACTTTTCTTTCCCCACATTCTTCAGTTCGGTGGCGATAGGGTGAACAGTGGGTTCTCAGTCTGGGCTCCTAACAACCCGGTGTATCCTCCAGCTCTAAAATTTCCTCGACTGTCTCTGCCACTAAGGGAAGTGCTTTTTCCTGTCTACGCATCATTTCAGCGGGTCTGATGCTACTCGCTGATATACGACTACGAGCCGAACATTCCTTATAGTAGTCTGTTGCAGGTTAAGAAGAACAGGACAGGCTCCTCTTAAAATTTCTCCGCACCTTGCAGTTTAGCAAACAGAATGCTGGAGAGCAGGTGAATGGAAAGGAGAAAATCTCCGTTTGTGGCAGGCAGAGGTCTTTGTGAGGGAGGGGCTTGCCCCACTTTTCTTAACCTGCAACAGACTATAGTGTGCATATCATGGTTTGTAGGGTCTACAGGCATCTACACTACTTCATTGCATCTACACCCAGACCGAGAGGGGTATCTCGGCTGCCCTTTGAGGTAATGAAGGAGGGGGCTTCTCAAGGTCAAGAGCTTCAAAAATCCCTGCAGTAGACAATAGACCTCTTCCAGAATCGAAATTATCCTAGCAGCGAGATGCCACGCTATGCATCTTGGGTACTGATTGGCCATTAAGTTTTGGTTTTGATTGGCCAATTCAAATTACCTACACACTGCTTGCGTTTTCAAATACGCGATCTCTCATTTAGGACTGGACCTGTTGCCGGACAATACGCAAAGTTTTCAGGGGCGGGTTCTCAACGTGTCGGAGTTTGTGCGTGGGGAAACGTGCGCGAACGATATCTTTCTCTGCCTCGCCCTACGATTCTATCTTTGAGCTCATTGTTATCAATTATAGTAAAATCGATTCAAGCCAACAAAGCCTACCCTGCCCTATGCATGTCTTGAGCGATGCCTACAAGAAGCCCATGCGGATAAAAGGCCCAGCAGAAATCAATGCTTTGTACAGTCCACGTGCAATAAGCCTCTTCATCAGCAAGGCAATCACAACCGAAACCATGACCCTCCAATCCTTGGCCAACCAGCTCCCAGGATGCAAAACTTGCAGTGTTTTGAACCGGGATTTATAGAAGTAGTGTATTGCTGGACTTCTTCGATTTTTCCAAAACACATTTAGTAGAACTGGAACAAGCTCGTTGCAAGCTGAGGTATGCCTGCAGTCTGATTTTGGCATGGAGGAAAAACAAAAGCGGAACCCAGTGAATCCGGAGCACTGACAGTGATGGTCTTGAGAGAAAGAATGAGAAAGAGAAAAACAGAAGAGTGAAGAAAGAGGGTGCACGATTCGCAACTCCAGCACGCCGCTCGCCCTCTCGCAGACGAACGGAGAACCAGAGTAGTGGGAGCGACAGCAGCGGCGGCGGCACGGAAACGGTGGCAGGGACTGTCGGCCTTGATGCGGGAAGCCGTTTTAATGAAAAAAGTGAGCTCGTTAAAATAGGAGATCTTCTGGTCCGCTTTGCAACAGCGTTGCACGAAGGACGGGGATGTCTAATTTCATTAGGTACTTTTCGTATATCGCATATGCTGCGGATTTCTGTTCTTGTGCATGGCCGCCAGCTCAATTTGTGCTCAACAAGGTGGCAAACGCTCCCGCTAATAATTTAGAGCTCTATAGTACAGTCTACGAAAAGTCTATTCTTTGCCATAAGTAGGAGAAAACTTGTCGCACAACGATATGTCGAGCAATACACGTCGGGAATGGCTTCGCGTTTTAAGGCCGTTACAAGAAGCACAGCTATTTATTCCAAGCACTTTAATAAGACAGAATGCCCGTACTTGCTTTCAGGTCATCACAAAGCAAATAAAGAAATGCTCGAAGCATTTTAAGCGCGTCTGTGTTAGCCAGCCGTTCGTAACGAGAGCTTGGAACGGGCAGTTTTGGCGGGAGGGGCTGCAACGTTGCAAATAACACGGTACACAAATGTATGGTGTATTAAGATATCTCCTTTTAGGAGCGAAGTTCCTTAGAGTCTAGCCTGGTTCATTCGTCCAGTGTCCGTGCTCACATCGATTGCCATCCCATCTGTCTTCTTAAAAAAAGAAAAAATGTTTGCGCAGTCAACAGGATTCGAACCTGTGTGGGGGGAGACCCCAATGGATTTCTAGTCCATCGCCTCAACCACTCGGCCAGGACTGCAGGACGAGTAGGGGGCTCTGATATGTGGTAGTAACTCAAGATTTGGGGTTACCAAACGAAACCCGGAACTCAGCACTACCTATGAGCAATAAAAAAAAATCGGCACCATCAGCACTACCTATGAACAATAAAATCAGTATCATCAGCACCACCAGAGCTTCGCCCCAATCAACATCATTCACCACGTGGAGATGTTGTGTTCATTTGATAGAGAAATAAATAAAATTCCTAAATACACTGATGACATTAATAGGCAGCTTTAGCATAGTGTTACTGCAGGCTACCGTGAGCACGGTAACGCTCCTGGCATGCGCTGAAAATTATGCTTCAAAGATGCAGCACGAGCTTCCGGTTGCAATGCTACACCGCACGGTAGCCTGCGGTAACAATCTTTTTATCACTAACCATACAGCAGTTTGATCACATGTTGCAATACACTAAAACTGAGACGGTGAGCAGCTAGTTGTCAGCCTGTGACACGAAAACATATCAATACTGTGAACGCTGCGCTTCTGAGGCTTGATGGTCACCGTGCGCGGCTCACTTTCCAGAGTACTAATAACCAGGCAAAGCGCAAACATATCTTCATCACCCTCAAAAATATTCTGCCACAGACAGGGACGTTGCCGGTGCCTAAAACGCGCTTGCCTACCACAAAGCTTCGCAAGTTGAGGTGTCTGCAACTTTTAAATATCAGCATGCTCGTTTTCCTAACGTGCATCAACATCTCCGTCAGCTGTAATACGATCCCTCCCTAACCGCTTTGCATTTGTAGACAAATTAATTATTTTTAGCGCGCTGACTAGCGCCAGCGAGCAGGCGCATGGGAAATCCTGGAGAATCCTGAGGATCTATCCCCGTCCCTTCCGCCATCTTGGGACTACCACCCCGCCACCTATAGAGCATTGGAGTTGCGAATAGGTTAGGCGTATTCATTTTGCCTCCATGAGTTGAAGTTCTAGTGCCTGCCAACTTTACTTATTTTTATATGATGCACGGTCTTATTCTACAAAGTGAGGCAGAAAAGGCCTAGGTGCAGAACTTGCAGAGAATGTTTTCCTGCTTCTCTGCGTATATTAAGGCTTCTCCAGCGTTATGGGCCCATTGGGACCACCCACTCGGACCACCCACCCGGACCACCGTTGTCCACATCTAAGCCCTGCTGTTCCGAATCGGCCGGAACGCGTGGGACCTTTTCCTCTAGAATATTATATTAACTTTATGGTCTAATTTGCCTCCCGTGGAGTGAGCAGTGATAGCGTTCATAGACGGTTTGTTTACTAATGCGAGTGAGGAACACGGTTCGTCTGCCATCATGCATCATTCGCAGACAGAAATAAAAATTAAAAAAAAAACACCATAGGTCGTCTGCTAACAAACCAGAAAAAAAAACATTGATAGTCTGCTACAAACCGGCACGGCAAAGTAGTAATCGTCCGCTATTTTACGTTGGAAGTCAATATTAACCCACGCTCAGTTTGCAAATCTCAAGTTCCGCTGCCGTACACAAGCTGATGTCGACCAGTGCACAAAGGAGTACTAAGGAAAAGCACATCAGAGCTTCAAAATATCTTCCGCTATTCGTACGTCGGTGGAGCGTTCTCACCAAACTTGCGAATGTGTAAAAAATCTTTCATCGGTTGACTCTGCACAAGCTATCGGTGCCAAGCCAGTTAGTGGCCGAAAATGCTCTCGCTCTTGACCAAAATCGACCCCTGGGGCACTCCTCTCAGCTGGACGTGTCCATTCCTCGCACAGGTCTCCGAGCGGTACGCCGCTACGTGCAGAGCCCTTTACCCCGACGCTACCCTGTGACTCGACGGGCCGGCTCACAGTGGCCCTCAAGCAGCGCTTCCTCGCCATCCATCCCGTGGAGGCAGGTTCCCCTGCAGACAGCTCCCCTGAGCGCTGGAGTCCCACTTCCCCAGATGTGGCAAGAAACTCCAGGTGCAGGGTGGGTCTCCCCCTCCCACCTCGGGAGCTAGAAGAAGAAAGTGGTCTGGCTAGATCGAGCTTTTCCGGTTCCGGAGATAAGCCTGATCTGAAGCAGCTCCAAACACGGAAATCCCTACAAATAGGCTGTGAATCAAAGCACGAGCAAGCTGGTAATAAGTGGCCATGTAAATAATAGGAATAATAAATAAATTTTATTATTAGATAATTTTATTATCTAAAGGACTTATTTATTATCTAAAGGGTTTATCTAAGATAAATAAATTTTAATATTTTAATTTTTAAAAATTATTAGGGCCTATAAGACCGTAATAAGGCCAATGTTGGAGTACGCCACTGTAGTATGGGATCCTTATACCAAAGTTGATTCTTCTAAAATCAAACGTATACAAAACCAGAGTCTGCGGTTTGTGTACGGCAGGTACAAAAGGACGGATTCTATCACTGAGATGTTGTCGTTGTCAGACATAAAACCTTTGTGCGCCCGACGTAAATTAGCTAGGCTAAAACTTTTGTACTGTATTGCAAACAGGCAAACCGGTATCAATCCTACCATGTATTTGCTCCCTCCCTTCAAGGACTCCAGTAGAATAAACAACTCGCACCACATTCGACCCTTTAGATCGTCATCCAATGTGTTCAAGTTTTCTTTCTTTTCCAGAACTGTAGATGAATGGAATCTTCTACCCGACGGGATTGTTGCATGTATGACCGTAGAACAATTTGTTGATGCATGTTTTTCGCATTTCTAACGTGCTTGCATGGTTTTTTTTTTATATATATTTCAGTAATGTTGTTGTCATGATTTTAAGATACAACGTGTCACTAGCGTTCTTACCTTAGTTTTTATGTGCTCTATTGCACTATCAGTGGTTCCATTGTTGTGTTATCTATACACCTTTTGAACTTGTGTATTTTTTTTTTGTGACCTCCAGTGTACCACATTTGTTGGTTAACTTTGTTTAGTTATGTTTTTTTCTTTCTTGTTGTCCCACCCTGCTTGGGCCTGAAATGGCCTGCAGTATGAATAAATAAATAAATAAACAATAAATATTATAGAAATAATGACACAAATAATAAGAATACATCAGTGTTATAGTGTCCAGGAACAACCTATCGGTCTTTGCACTGGCATGCTTCAATAAAAATAAATACACCCACAAAAAAATAATAGTAGTAGGAACCTAATAATGATGGTTTTATTTGTAGAAATTCATGCGTAATGCCCTGGCCCACAAATCCAAAAACTGCTTGCGTATGGGGCCAGGTAAACCTGCGTATCACAGTTAAGTGTAATGCTATTTCAGCATTTTTACCTCTGTGGATAAAACCATGAATTCAGCAAAGGCACTCGATGGTTGAACACAGCCTGAATGATACAGAGCGATTCAACGCAAAGCATGAAGCAAACGCAGGAGCGGAAGGAATTATAACGGGGGCAGAGTATACAGTAGTACCTGGAGCGCAAGCAAGCTGTTGCGAGATCTCGAGACGAACTCGCTCCCTCCCTCATATTTTCCCCTTCCATCTCTCCACCGTGGCTTGACATTCATTGCAAATGTCACAGTATATGAAACGAAAAACAAAGATGAGAGAACTTCCAGACATGACCAAAAGTTACTTCTGGGCTGGAATAAATTAATTTAGATTAGGATTTTACTAATTGCATATTGTTTAGTGGACTAAAAAAAACAGTATGGGCGTCCGGCAATGCATAGTTAATTTTTGCAGCGGAAAATAACCCCGTAAATTTGGTGGGGGGGGGGCGGGGGCGGGGGGGGGCGGGGGGGCAGCCAGGAGCCTACCTTTCGGCACTATATTTTGACAATAGTAAAACCTCGTTAATGCAACCTCCACTAATTCAGAAATTCGGATAATTTGAACTGCCAATCTGGTCCTGTCAAACGTGTGTATTAGTCAATGGCATCAAACGCTCATTCATTTGGAGGGAATGTGGCACGCTAGGGTTAATTCGGATGAATTCGGCAAGTGGCGCGAGCTACCATCCGTTCCAAAGGGTATGACCGCTATCCATCCGAGGTGCACACGTGGTTTTTCCGGTTTTCCCATGGTTCTTTGCTCTTCCGGTTCTTCGTATTTTGCACCAGTTCTGCTCTAGATTGCCGTGCATCAGCGCGCTACTCTCCTGGCATGGAAGGACAGAAAAAGAATAGCACAGGTGACCGACGACCGGAGCAACAAAATCGCGAAACGCAGTGCTATTGTTCCCGAGCGCGCCGATAGTGAGAGTGACAGTCACGTTTCATGCCTCAACACGGGGTGGCCGGCAGAAAGCAGCCCATTCTAAAGCCCGCATTTTAACAGCTATCTTATTTTTCAATTTTTCGCCGGCCACCCCCGTGTTGAAACATGCAACATGACTTGCACACTCGCTATCGGCGCGCTCGAGAAAAATAGCGCCCGCTGTCGAGATTTTGCCGCTCCGATCATCGGTCAGTTGTGCTACTCCTTTTTTGTTGCAGCTGAAAGTGGAAATACGAAGGGCCTTGAAGGACGGTGCCTCTCGACAACAAGTGATCGAAAGGTACGACGTCAAGACAAGCACTTTGGCCACGTACTTGAAAATTGAGGCCGAGATCCTACAGGCTTTCGAGACCGAGAAGTTCAACGGGAAAACAAAGCGGCTGCGGAAAGTGGTGCACCCGAAACTAGAAGAGGCCTTGCTGTAGTAAATCGTCGGCACACGGGATGCGTAGCTCTGACAGTGCAAGTGCGGTGGAGCACTCGATCGCACTAAGGAAAGTTTCCGTCTCCGCCCAAATGTCACCCAGAAAGCAGGGGGCAATAACAGATTTCTTTGCAAAATAAAGATATCTCACAGGGAATTGTTTTCGCGCAGTTTTCTTTGTCCTTTCCATATTTCGTCTTTCGGATAATTCGGACATTTTTGCCGGTCCCATGAGATCCAAATTAACGAGGTTTTACTGTATAGCGGGCCATGTCTAACCTTCTTTCCTTCGAAAACTCGCCGCCTCTTCACATTGATAGATTCCTGGTGCCCAAGCACGTTAGCCTAAGCGCTTTGGTGGAATATTTGGATTCGCATTGGTGGCCAATGAGCGCTGTTACACTTGCAAATGACAAGTTTCACAGTGTGTTTAAAAGGCACCGTCAAAATCAACATTCTGGCATTACTCTTATTTGCATCGATGAAAGCAAAAATAGTCTGACTGACCAGTCGAGGAAGGCTGACCATGTCAGCAAGTGGGCTGGGAGGGCTGTCCTGGTAGCTCGACATTTGTCGACAATTAGTACATTGGACGCGAGGAACGCAGACGGCTAACCCCGCCGACCCTCGAACAGCTGGGAGAAGCTCCGATTCCGGTAAAATTCTACGTCACGACGACGTGATTTCTCATTTCGCTTTTGAGCTGAGGAGGAAAGCTAAGGAGGAAGAAGTTGAAAGATAATTTCATGGTCCCTTTAAGCAATGCCAGGCATGGCTTCTTGTCTTCACTCTTTATGCTTGGCGATTCATTCTTATTGGCCGATGCGGTTATCTCATTGGCTGCGGAGCGACAATTCGATGCTTGGCACTTGCCTCGCCCTGCCTTCCTTGGGCCGTCGGTAACCGTAGCGGGTTTCAATGGCAAGTTTCTAGTTGAAGTTGTGTCTCCTCTTTTGGTAACTAAAACCATTAAGTATGCAAAAAAGTCCAAAACCTTAATTATCCAAAGCATGGTGTTTGTCCCTTGGCAGGAACAAATATGGAATGAATCTTAAGTATAAACCGCATGTAAGCAATTTGGCGAGTGACGAGACAAGCGACGTCGACCCGTTTCGCTGTCGCTCGGTCAGTCGCACAACAAGGCAAACCGCATGAAAGCGACGGGAGCAAATGACCAAGGCGATGAGTGGCAGTTAAAAATCTCCGTCGCTCGTCGCTTGCGTTGTTGCTTGTCTCGCCGCTTGCGCCGTTGCTCGTCTCGCCGCTTGCAAAATTGCTTACATGCGGTTCAGCTTTTAATAACTTTAACATTCTTTGGCTAGATGTTCGGCATTTCGTAAAGCCCAAAAGTGAAGGCTGCATAAAAGTGTGGCCGCGAGGCTCGACGCCAGTTGGTTAATGGGTGCGAGAGGAGTGATGGGCTTGACGCTGGTTTGGCTATTGGTATATCAGCGGGTTTGTGATATCAAGTGTATGCTTGCCACGCATTAACTTATCTGACGAAGAGCGCCGTGAACGTAGGCATCTGGCTTAACAGGCTAGACATGCTGCCAAACGACGAGATAAGTGGTAGCGATGCTAGAACGTGTCACTGAGGCAACACAATTGCCTAGCAATTTGCCGTACATTTGCATTGATTTTATCTTTGGATGCACACCTTATGTGGGAAAGTTTTGATCGGCGTTTTGTGAAACACCCCCTTCAGTGAGATGAACTCCTAGTGCTTTTAATACCGGCACTTGCGATTAAGGTAGCAATAAATCGGATAAACAAGATGTGAATGGTTCTACTGTATGGTGATAGGTTCTACCTATCGCTGTATAGTGGTAGTTGGTTCTTCTGTATACAGTTGAACCACGATTCAACGAAGTCATCGGGACCGCTAATTATCTTGTTAAATCAAGAACTTCATAAAATCGAGGAAGGGAGACCTGACGTATAAGCTGCGCGGGCGGATTCAAATTTATTCATTCAATCGGAAAATTCTGAAAATCGGGTTCTGTTAAATTGAGGTTCAACTGTAGTGATAGGTTAGTTGCAGCCATGTAGGTGCCAGCTCGAAACCGTGTCGCGCGAGCTTGCACGACCGAGGCACGACGACAGGCAACGAGCAACTGCCAGAGGAGGAACTTCTCCTGCAGATCTTGTGCTGCAAATATGGTGCCTGGAACGCATCTTTGAATGGCGTGTTTACTGCCTAAGGAGTGGTCCCTCGATTTCTGCCGGGCGACGTAGCAGAGTTGCGACGTCACCAGCCGCAGTGACGCAGCAGCAGCAGCAGTGGTAGCTGTGCCAGTTGCCCGTTCTGTCTCAGGTCGCCCTCCAGCTTGGCAGTTCGCGGAAACTTAGGTAGCCAGTACGCCACGACGACGGCAACGCTCGCGTTTAATCATACTTTTTACAGGAACTTCTGACACCAACCGCCAGGATCACAACGTCCGACAACGCGACACACTGGCTTCCGCGACGTCGTCCGTTGCCATACGTTTCTAAACTGCCCTCGACGCGTGGGCGGGACGGGGACGCCAAACGTGCTGGTCGAAGACTCGTTGCTGGTGTCGTAGTTGTGACGGACGGTGTAAGCCTATGGCACGTGGTTCTCGGCTTTACTCTCGTCAATTGCGCCCACCGCAGGTGTCTCCTCGAAAGCGCCACCCCAGCCAGCGCAGCCTCGAGATGACTACCATGCCCTCACCCGTCCAAGGTGTCTGCGGCTGACATTGTCACCTCATCCGACTGTACAAAGCACCATAAAATTGCCTTCTTCGTTGCGGACCTGTTCGTGGTTGTGTTGTATTCTGGTTTTAAATACTTTCTACTGCTCGGTATCCGAGTCCACCCGCTGCCAGCGCTACGATCTAATTGCGCCGTCGAGCGGCTTTGAGAGGGGTCCCTATCGTTTCGAGGACAACTCTTCATGGATACACGTTCCATGGACACACGTTTCATTCACACAAACGTTTCATCATGCGTGTATTGCTGGGATGCACATTAACCCACGCCCCACCTGCGTTCACGCTGCTTTGCGGTGACAGTCTGTGACGGCTCATTACAAAAATGTTGACCCACCTCATTGGCCCATACACGCCACTTTGCGGCGTCGGTCTCGTGCAACTTATTACAGAAAAAAGGTAATCTGAGCTGCCAATGAAACGATTTGTCAATGAAACATTGCATGTCCAAGCACTCTGTCTATGAAACATCGTCCGATGAACTGATTGCCACCGCTCCGAGAGTGCGTCGCCGCACCACTGGTGGTCTTTGTTCGTTTGCTATCACCGACCTAACCAATCGCTCGCAGTCACTGCAGCGTGATCCTGTGCTTACACGCAGAGAGGACTAGCGCCGTGGCGGATTGCTTTTGGCACTGATTGATGGTCTCCATCGAATCAGTGTCGACTGTGGTTGGACTTGAAGTCAAACGATGTAGAGGTTTAATGTTTTGTTTGTACATAAATCGACAAGCATGTGTCTCCTTTTAGAGCCTAGTTTTATTATGTTTAATGGACCAATCTCACCAGCCAGTTTGGGTACGCCACCCCTGCCACGATGCACCCAGGAAAGTGTCTTTTCGCTTGTGCAATCTCCTTGCTGGAGCTCTGCGCGTGCAGAACATCAGACGAACGAGCTGTCTCGTGCAGTGCCGCCTGCGAACTAAAGTTATGGTGGGGTCACGTGTGCGCCAAACGCTTGGTGAGTTCGATCTGTGCGGAGAGCTAGTCGTCTGCTTCCAATTGCGCAGGAGTTGGGTTACGTCAGAACTACGCCGAGCTGTGATTGACTTTGATTGAAAGGATAGTGGGTAGACCTGCTGAATGCTAGGTTCCCTACCCTTTAGTAGATCGTTCCGATACTCCCGATGACGATACGAGGCATGAGCTAAAGCTGCGGCGTAGTATCGGGTGTCGTTATCGGAGTCATCGGAATGATCTACTAAAACTCTCCTCGGCGTTCTGACATTATTGCAACCCCTCTGCGAGAAACAGACCAACTTACGCTCCGCATTGGCTGCGTTAGACGCGCTGAAGCCAGCGCATCATGTAGGCATTCAAGTGTCAGATATTGTTTTTGTAACTAAAGCTTGTATGCTGTCGTTCTACGTGAGTGACGAAATAAATTGGGCTGCTCAATCTAAACCCTTTGCTTGCGTTTTCTCTAAATCTGGAGTTTTCCAGTCAACAACTGGAGAGAGCGCGAGTGCCGAGTTGTCTTCCTCACGCGGCCGGGCCTGTTTGGGTTCAGCATTTCCGAGATAGCGGTCTAGTGAAGCCGATATCTGAAATTTTTGAATAACAGAAATTAGTCACTTCTCTTTTACGTAATCGGCGATGTCTTACTTTTTGGAGAAGTAGCGTTTTCGATTTACAATCTTGTGTCGTAATCGAACTATCTGAAAGAGTAGGTCTCGAAAAGCGTCGGTATATAAGCCGATGCGGTTGGCAGAGTGAGCGTATGGTCCGGATCCCATGAGTTACCCCCAGTAATATTCAGTTGTCAGTAAATAGGAAGCTATGATTCATAACTCGATGGGAACATTCGACCGCTACTTTTGCTTTTTTTTTTTTTTTTTTTTTGTGATTTTACGAGTGCTTCGGTCCGAGCGCGGCCGATGCTATGAGCCGAAGGGCCAATCAAACAGCGAAAGAGGCACAACGTCAAGGCGTGTTCTTTGCAGTTGATAGGACCAGCGTGCTCTCTGTGCGTGCTCCTTCGCCGGCTAGTCCTATCAAGCACAGAGCGCACACCATTACGTTGCGCTCTTTACGCTGTTTGATTGGCCCTTTTGCTCATAACATCTGCCGCACACGGACCGAAGCTGAAACGAAGTATAGTAATATTCGGTTATCGGTTAACAGCAAGCTACGGTTCACAGATAAGAGCACTCAACCGCTACTTCAATTTTTTTTTTTTTTTTTCTTTCTTCATTATTTTAATAAATTGCTGCCGCAAGCCTTCGAACATATAAAAATCGGGCGAGATGACCAGGGTACAAACTCCGACAAAAATAATAAAAATGACATTAGGACTTTAATTTCCACAGATCAGTGTTAATTTCTTTCTTTCCTTCCTCATTGATTCAGATAGCAAGTGATAATTGGAGACTTGTCCGAAATCGACGGCATCTAGCGGCTGGAACAGAAAACTCTAGCGGCAGATTCGCTCGCCGACTTGTACCCCTCCCTTTCTCCCTTCTTTCCCCTCACCCGAAAATTAACAAACAACTCTCGGGCGAATCACATATCTCAAATATAGTATTCACAGCGCCTGGTGACCCAAAGACGAGGTCGTGAAAGGTTCTAAAACACGTAATAAAACTCGTCAAGACTTTTTTTATATATATATATATATATATAAAAAGACGTTTTATTTTTTTATTCATTTTATGTACAAAATGTTGAAAAAAAGAGTTTTTTTATTTATTTATCTTTATTTTTACCGCAGAAATAAACTAGGCATCGCCGGACGCTCATTTTCCGCCCAAAGGTAGCGCTAGAAATCCGAACCGAACCCCATAGTTTCAGCCCGATCCGATACCTTATTCAAAGCATGCGAAGGCACAGAGACGCAGCGCTTCGGCGTGTCAAGGAGGCTTTGATCACGCCGCGAGACCGGCGAAACTTGCTGTTGACGAGTTGTGCCCTTTTCCTGCGGCACTGCGCAGGAAAAGGTGTCGCGGCGGGCTAAGCCCCGGGCGCCGCTGACCGTCGTGCCGCCACTGCTTCCAAAAGCCCTACCCTCTTCTCCACTTGCTCGCATTCCGGACAGCAACACCTGGAAGCAACGGAAGTTTGAAACGGGTCAGGTTGTTGTAAAGCCGTCGTTCAATGTGGTATTACCCTTTAATAAAGAATACGGAAATTAACCCCGCTTTTCCTTCCCCAGGTCACAGTACATTTGGCTCGTTTGAATCGCCCACGTACCACGAACAGGAATATGGTAAAACGCTGAGATTGTTAAAGCTGAATACTATAAAACCCTTTATTCTCGCGGCCTCTATATTTCGCGAGTCGGTCACAATCGCGGCCATTAACTTTCGCGAATTCTATTTGCCTGCCTTTAAAGGAGCTGTGCAACAATTTAATTCAGTGCTTTGCTTAAATAACTTGGGAGTTGGTGTCTCGACCTTTCTGAAGTAAAAAACAAAAAACCGCTTTTGCCTGCATGTCCTAGTTTTTATTTTAAAAATTTACCAAGATGGGAAATTTACCAAGACGTATTTTTACATCCATTCTAAGATAAAAAGATATAGGCGGATGTCAAATCTTCTACGTACTTGAAACATGACCATAGTATTTTAAATACTATGGTCATGTTTCAATCACACACATATATATAATAACTACGTATTCATGATATACCTCATGTACTATTTAGTCAAAATGAGGCATGACTGGTAAGTTAGAATTTAAAAAAAGCTTCATGCAGATGTCCACTTAATTTATAAAATCTGAAGATTCTTGACTTTCCTTTAAATAAACTTATTGAAACGCCTTTTTTTATATATAACAAGCATAAAAATTAAGTTTCACAAACCTCTACGTCAGGCAATGAAAGGGCGAGATAAAATATTTTCAGAAACCTAGCGGGCCAAGTGCGAAATTTTGCTTCTTTTATGCGACTGCATTTTTATATATACTGGCGAGGCTTGTTAAAAACTTCTTGACTTTCTCTTTGTTGGAGGCAATTACAAAGGATACAGATTAACGGGGGAATGTATAACAATACATAGCATTTTAGTCTTATGAGCTCACAGTAACGTTTATGGTGATAAAAGAAACAGTGATTTTAAGTGAGGTTTACATTACTCCTGAGGATTCGCTTTTTTTCTCACAACCCTGAAAGATTGGCTTTTATTTTGAGCCTTTATCCACAAGTGGCACGATTGAATGTTTTTCACAAGACTAAAAAGATTCCATTATTTTTTTCACTCTGTGGCGTTGTTGGGCGAGGCACATTTGCTTTACTTTAGAAGAGTACAATTCGAGGCACTTTCGGGGTCATTACACGATAAAAATCATCAGCACATCCGCTGGCTTCTAGTTCTATCGACCTGAGGCTGTGCAAGGATGCTTGGTGCTTGAGGACTCTCCCCACGCCGTTACACTCACTTTTGCCCTGTCCCGTAGCTTAAAAAACAATTTGGTTAGTTCTTGTCTCTTCGCCATCTCGTACTGCGGAAGCCTATTTTTGGCATGACTAGCCTCCCCGTCGGAGATGGAGAGAAGTTTTGTAAATTTCGGAATGTTTTCTTTCAGCCACTCTTCAACTGTGCGCAGAGCGAACAGTGCGTGTGCTGTATTGTGTACGATGTCGTCGCTGACAACTCCGAAGCTGACGATTTTGCGCTCTGTTGTAGCGACGCGGGTGAAGGCAGACACGATTTGATTCTTCCAATGAAAGAGTTGTACCGCTCGCTGAAGAACGACGCTTCAGTTGTCCGCAAAATCAAAATGCAACACGATGGTATACAAGCCTTGTGATGCGACGTTTCTGAATTTATAGCAAAACGCTGAGCATTTCGGATGAATTAATGTGGGAAGTACTTTGTTACGTATTTTATGAGCTCATTGCAAAATGCGCAACTTCCTATTTGTTTCTTTAGCAGTTTGTTAGATTCCCATTAACCGACTTATTAGTCTTCCTTCATTTGCAACGATTCCAGGGTTAAAACGTCTCTTTTTGGAAACACCTTGCAGGTCAGCAAAACGCACTAAGTTGTGTTAGCACACGTGCAAATTCTCTTAATGTCTTCAAGACTGAATTGTTGGTCGCCCACGTTTAATATTGCTGTCTGGCTACGAGAAGTTGCTCCCTCTCTCGGTTTTGGTTAACTGTGTGAACAAACTGAGATGAGATATCAGACAGGTGGACAGCGTAGAACCTGCCAGCGAAACAAAACGAAAGGGAAAGGCCGCCGCTCTCGAGGGCGGCGGCACATGAGCGCCTCCTGGTAATCACAGGGTGTCTATATCTTCTTACTTTCTATCACGTGCATGGATCGTCAAATGGTAGTCGTTTCTAATATTCATAGTGACCCTGTCTACACTAAATAAACAATCAAGACAGTTATCTAAAAAGGAAATGCGACACTCATAGAGCTAAAAAAAAAAAAAAAAAAAAAAAAAGTGGCGGCATGTCGATGTCCCGCTCGACCCGTGGGCTGCCCTTTCGATTCCACTTTGCGCCGAAGAAAAATAGCCAATGCAGCTTACGACAACATTGAAAGTACTTATATCTCAACAAGAAAATGAATATTAAAAAAGGCGAAATTAGGGAAGACTCGCACATTGCAGAAAAGCAAAAGCAAGCGTCGAACCCGCGCGATGCTAATATACTGCTAGTTTCACCCCATATCATTCTATGAGGTTTGGATCGTATACGTATACAGTTCTATGTTTGCGAAACCAAATGTATACATTTGGTTTCGCAAACATAGAACTGCCAATAATAAAGACGGAGGTTGGGAGGTTTCAACAAGCCTAGTTTAGCTATCGTGTAAAGGAGGTTGTTACGCTGCTTACACATCATACAAAAGAAAATCTGCATACAGACTTGAACCCGAGTCACCGAGAGATCCGTGCTTTGAATGTCGCATGGCAATAATTTCAAGGAGAAACTTGGCACGCGGATTCGAACCACGGATATCTGCTGACTGTCATTTTTGTTTGACGTATAAGTAGTGTGACCCCGGCTTAAAGGTGCTTCTAGTACAAGCAAACACTGCAATATGACCCGCATAAATTGGCTAATAATAAAAAAGTATTGAAAAAGTACACGAGGACTTCACTTTTTTATAGTATCAAACCTCGTGCTCAGGCTCAAAATGCTACGTCAAACGACGTGCAGGGATTTAGAAAAAAGTAAAAGTACAGCATGATTAGTTTTATTTAGAGATATCTAAATTTTTTTATATGTACGGAGCTATATTTTTTAAAGTTTTATACGCGTTACAGGATGCAGCCAAATGTATCAAAAGGCGCCTTTGTAGCGTTAGCCGTCACACGTCCAAATGAATATTTCAAATTAAATAACCGTCACAACTTGTCTATCTACTTCCTCAAAGCAGTTTTTCACCGTTCTACCCCGAAACACGAAAATCTATGAGTATTCGCTGCAGTAACTCGACGTAAAACGA